AAAGTACATTTACCTTTTAACCACATTGCATCCAGAGCAATTTCTTAATGTTTGTACACACATGTTAAATCTAAATTTTTGGATAGAAAGCTGCTTTACCACTTGCTGTCCGGAGCAATTTCTTACTATTTGCGCACACATGATAAAATATAAATGTTTGGCTAGAAAACAACTACAGACCCCCAAACAATTATATATTTTCTGAAAGCATAGGCCCTGTAGAATAAAAAAAAATGGTAGTTCCAATTTTTTATGTTGCTTGGTATTTGTGCAAATGTTTATTGAACCAATATTGTTAGGATAAAATAAACTAAATAAAAATTTAGTGCACAGAAACTAAATTTTTGGGTAAAATATAAAAGACGGGATCACGCCGTGTAATTAGATACCAAACATGTCAAGCCTTGTGAAGCCGCAAAAAACTTCAATACCCAAAATTTCCCATAGGGAACACTTTAAATGCTTTTACTAGGGATGCACCGATACCGATACAAGCATCGGTATCGGCCGCGATACCGAGTATTTGCATGAGTACTCGTACTCGTGCAAATACTCCAAAACTTCAAACGAGTACCTGTGCCGCGTCCGCCATCTTCAGGGACCCGGATCCGCCGCACACAGGACCTCCATCGCGTCTTCAATCAAGCAAGATGGCCACGACCTCCTCTGTCATCTGCTTCATTCTGACCTCTCCCGCTGATTGGCCGATTGGATGATTGACAGGCTTCCTCACCAGTCAGGAGTGACTGGTGAGGAAGCCTGTCATATTACCACTCATGAGTTTAGTGCCAACAGTGATTGACAGCACTAGAATGATTGCTCTCACTCTGACGTTTGCAATGGTATGTAACATGTGTAGCGCAATTGTCGTTTTTGCACATAGGTGCACCGAGGCGTGTTTGCGTGAGCATGTGCATGCATGTGGGGGGCGGTGGACTTTAAAAAAAAAAAGTTTGCATTTTTCTTTTATTATATGGGACTTCAATTTTTTTTAATTTTTAAACACTTTTTTCCCCCCACTAACCTTATTGCTATCACATAGGGGACTAACAGACATCAGGGGTCTGAAAAAAACATTAGCAAGATCATGGCTGCTGCAGGGCTTAAATAGCAACCTGAATTCACATCGTATTGATGGTGGAAGAACTATTGATCGAATGACCTTCAATAAGGCAAAAAACACAGTGAAGCAACATTAAACAAGAAATTAGAAATACTTTTTTGGTGATCTGACAGAATAAAGTCTTGTTGTTTGCTTTAAAATATATGCACTTTACAGTTTAGGGCTGCCATACTGAAAAAAATAAATATGACGTTTGATATTTCCTCTTAGGATTATACAATATTATATTGCCATACTGCCATACTGAAAAAAATAAATATGACGTTTGATATTTCCTCTTAGGATTATACAATATTATATACATATACACACACACTTTAGCAAAAAAAAAAAAATACAGAAGTAATAAAACAAAAAATAGAAACATATGAGTGACTACCTTTCCTCATCAGGCTTTTCATGGAAAATTAACACTAGTAAAGATTGTGATAAACTATACTCTAATTTATCTACTGGAATTTATCTACATATCGCAGGAACACGAACCACAGGCTTTAACCCCTTCATGACTGAGCTTGTTTTTGGTTTCTGTTCACTCTTTGATTTCAACATCTTCTGTCAATTACTATAAATAATGTTAGAACAAAATTTGTATCCAATGTTATTAACGCTACAGAACACAAAGTGCAGTGCATACATGTGTGAATTGCAAAGATTTAGGCCTTGTTCACACCAAGCGCGTTCCAGGTCCAGAGCAGAGCAGTTGCAGACCGGATCAAAACTGCGTCCAATTTATTCCAATGGTATTTTGGGCTCTCGTTCACATCGCAGCGTGCAGGTCCAGAGCAGGTAAAAAAACTGCAGCAAGCCCTAGTTTACCTGCTCTGGCCCAGAGTGCATCAAAAACGTGGCAAAAAACGCGGCAAAAACACTGCACAACCCTCTGCACTGCGTGTGCAGAAACTCGTGCTGATCTGGTCTGCGTTCCAGGTGCAGAGCAGAGCAGTTACAGACCGGAGCAAAACTGCGTCCAATGTATTCCAATGGTATTTTTAGCTCCAGTTCACATCGCAGTGTTCCATTCCAGAGCAGGTAAAAAAACTGCAGCAGGCCCTATTTTACCTGCTCTGGATCTGCTCTGGAACACATGCAAACGCCCTGGAATGCACCGAAAGCCCATTTTAAACTTAAAACATAAATATATATATATTTTTTTAAACCAAAAACGGCCCGGAACGCATCAAAAACGCGGCAAAAAACACAGCACAACCCACTGCATTGCGTGTGCAGAAACACATGCAGATCTGGTCTGCATTTGGTGGGAACAAGGCCTTAACCCTGCTCACTGCAGGATAGCCTGAAACCAATGTTCTCTCTCACATAACTGCCCAGCTGTTACATGATCACATACCCAAAATATAACACCAAAACAATTGAGCCATTTTTCTTTTTTGACAATCCTATGGTGGGTTGCTCAGAAAAACTTTGTTACCATGTAATAAATATGGTAATAGCATTCATTCTGAAGGAGGTCTGACAGCTTAACAATAAGTGAAAGACTAGGTGTTTTAAAACTTAAAGCTCAACGCACAATGTCTGTGTTATTCCAAAGTAAATGTTAAAACTGTACCTTTACGTTAAAACAGTTGTAAAGTCCCAACAATACATACTAGAGGTTTTTTTCATAATCCAATCAAAGCTTACTTGAAAAAAAACATTTTAAGCTCATCGTACACAACACAGAGGTCACCAGAGTGAAAATATATGCAGCTCTTTGGGAAGAGTTAAAATCAGAAATTCAATTGGTGGTGAACCTAAACACCCAAACTATCATTTTAAAAATAAACTAGTGAATTGTGTTTGCTACCTAAATGACTAATTCCGAATGCAATGTCTATATAAATGCAAAGCTACTTTCACACCTGTACATTTTTGGTGCATGATGAGAGGACTACCAACATAGTCAATAGAACCATTCTCATCTCTACAATTTCTGCATGCAGTGCCAACGCCAATGACTATAAAACACAAGCATTTTGTGTACAGATTTACATGCAGTTACTTGCACCTATATTGCAGTGAATGTCTTTCAACAACCAAACAATCTCAGTTGAGTATGTACCCAATGAAATGATTTGGCTTAGAAGGTTCCAGACTCGTAAGTCTGTTAAATAAAATATAAAAAAAGGAGGAAAAAACTTTAAAAAAAAACACTTTTTTCCTCCCAGTTTTGATTTGTAGTATTTTTTTACAAAACCAGCACATACAGCTGATTCTCAGCGGTTACCAGCCTTCTAGTGCAGCAAATAACTCGTCACGTACAGTGTACGTGACAAGCCATTTGGTCCCTTTGTGGCGGGACGTACAGTGTACGTCTCCCGTCACGAAGGGGTTTAATTAAATAAATCGCTCAAGCCGATTCACAGTTGATTACAAAAATCATTTAAGTTGTTTCGATCCCTTTGTTTAGATGTTAAATCTACACATTATTTGTCCTAACTGAGGTGCTAGACACACATATGTGATATAAATATATAGCCCTATCTGTCCTCTAAAAAACAATATATAATATGTGTGGGTGCACTTTGTAAGAAAGTATATTACTGACGTGGAAGAATCACACAGCAAAAATGTCAAAAGTGTGTCAGTCATTTACGAACAGAAACTAAAAACAAGCTCAGTCATGAAGGGGTTAAATGACCTCTGCAAAGAGTCTAAACTGGAAAGGCAAACAACAGTTCCTACCCACATAGGGCATCATCTGTATGATATTCTCACTGTAAAAGAAAGAAAGAATCCTAGTAGAACATTTTGTCAATATCATGGCAGCTCCACACAAGGATCAATTTATTGGTATTAGACCTTCCACATACTGGGGAGTTTCAAAGGATTGTCCCCTAGAAGAACACTCCTTGCATATTTCTCATGGGGTAATTTTCTCCACTAGACTTCAATAATGAGCAAAAGATGCAATGCTTTTTATAAGATCTTAGATGGTATGCCAGTTCCTAAGTTATTGCTCTCCTGATGAATTCAGTTTTTTTTTAATTAAGTATTTGAGCTATTGGTAAGAAGCAGGGTATTTGTATAAAAGTGAATTAATGTAAACAGCAGTGAAGGGATAGCTTGGGCACAAGCACTTGAGGTGCAGGGAAGGGCTGGATAAAAGTGACACTGGCAACATCTGTCTCTAGGACGTCTGTTACACTAAGGCAGTGGTTCTCAACCTTTCTAGGGTCGGGACCCCTTGGTAACATTTGCCAAGTTGTGGTGACCCCAAACGGTAAAATGTATGGATGATGCGGCTGCTGCAGAGACATCTGGCGGCGTGGCGGGAGAACTGACACTGCTGCGCCAGGAGAGGTTTGAGGAGGACTCTCACCTAGCACAGCAGAAATCACACAGCGACCCACAAATTGAGAACCACTGGTGTACGCCGTCAGAATAAAAAAAAAGAGGACCTGATGGAGAACTTCAGGCCCCCTCTGCTAATTGGCAGCAGCAGAGGGCAGGTGCAATAGCTAGTTTGCTATTGGCTATTGCAAAGTGAAATAGCAAATAGGAATCTAGGTATGCATTCCTATGGTGATTTGTTTTTTTTCTGACTTACGGCGGCTGGCGGCCCCCGATGTCAGGAAAAAAAAAATTATCGCAGGGAAAGGTTTACTCTGCTTGATAGAACAGAGTAAACCTTTCCAGGAGACAGTGTTTCTCTCCCGGGGGGCCGGGAGCAGCTATCTAATAGCGGGAGACTTCCGGGCGACCCCTGGCAAATCGTCATTCGACCCCCGACGGAGTCGCGACCGACAGGTTGAGAACCGCTGCACTAAGGTATACTGTAGCCAAGAATGGTCAATTTAGCCATCATCCATTTTCTAAAGCCTGCACCAATACAGAATACTAGGAAACATATAAATATACATATTTGTTTTTGTACCTTTATTTCTGGAACAGTTATCCGATCCTCTGGCTTCTTATTCAGCATTCGCACAATCAAGTCTTTCAGTTCATCACTTATGACTGGCCTTTAATTTAAAAAAAATAAAATACATTTTAGGGTTTTTTCTTGCAGGGAAGGGGTTGGTAGTTTTGTGCCAATCAATTAAGCTTAACTCAAGGCAAGCAGCTAAATAAACAGTTAAAATATATATTGTAAAGCTGCACAACCAGACACCCTTTCCAGACAGCAGTGTCAGGTCCTCCACCTCTACTGCAGCATCACAGCTTGGTGAAGCACTCACTCCCAGCCTGCTGAGAGGACAAAGTCCGAGCAAAAACACACTGATAAGGTACCGCACTGCTTTCCCCACCCGTTAGCGTGTTCCCTGTCAGCAAATGTGCATGCAGCAGTTGTCGATTGTCTCCTAGAGCTGGTCCTCCCTCTGCCAGTTCTGTGCAGAGTATTACAGGAAGCTCATATCAAGAAAAATATAGATATTTACATTAGTTTACATTTTTAGGACTTTGCATTAGCTGGTGTTGTTGTACACCTGCCTGGAGTTTATTATCAATTCTGAACATATCTGTATGCCGAAATCTAAGCTTGACTGCTCAACCGCTGTTTTATGCACAACTCAGAAAAATGATAAATCATTTTTTAAAACTTTTTCATCATCACATTACTCTGAGTTAAACATAAAGAAACACGTAAAAAAAACCTCATAGCTTACGTACTGCTCAGGAAACTCCACAGGCTTATGTTTAATTATGTTATGAAGAACCAAGATGTAGTCATCCATGAAAGGACACTGAAACATACAACAAACACAGTTAATAGTGCATGAGAAGTATGAAGATCAGACAAGATGTGTTGATCTTAATCTGGCAAATTGGCATTACATATTAAGCTAACCAAATATGTGTAGCGTAATTAAGCTTATACAACCACATTGTAGTTACAAATATTTTAACCGTTAAATAGTAGCATACGAATAATCTAATATTTTAGCATAATCTAGTTTACTACATAAAATAAATAGTACAAGTCTGCAGGAATATAACTAACTGGTCCCCATTTCATTTTGACAAATGTCCACCTTTCCACTAACCTTTATAAAAAAAAAAGTAAAGAACCACCAATAAAGGGGCAATACTGAATAAATAAAATAAACATACAAAGGCAATGGCATTTTGTGCACTAGAGTTAGGGAAATCCCCATTTGACAGTGATGGACTATATATAAACGGATTTGTTTCACCTCTTTCATACTGTGCACTGCACAAACGGCGACCATGTGGAGCAATTTAGTCATTTTAACACAACTTGCACTACAGGGGTAGATATAACTGAAATATGTGTTACAAAGTCCAGTTTTTTTGGCATATTTTAATAAATAATTTTTGCTTTGTGTTGGCATTATACATGAAAATCAGCAGATGAATTGTGTAGCACAGAGGACATCAACAGAACAAGAGCAAGCTTTGTCCTAGTTAGGAGTTTTTATCCAGATGAATGTGTCCAAAGATTTATAGACAAGCTGGAGGAAATCTTTCAATGAATGTATGGTGCCTGTGCACAATCCAGTTGTAAAATATTCCAGTTCAATACATTTTTCTTAAATCTGATGCAAAGTATGTGGTAGTATTTTAATCCAAACCAACCATAACCCCCTATTTCCTCTACCTAGTTATCAGAGGAGGAATACTACAAAGAATCCTCATCATCTGCTCTTTTGCTTAGCTTTTTCCATACAATCTATAGAAAGCTTGAGGTCAATATATTGGCATCCCCAAACGTGCCCTCATATTTACATCACTATGAGTTATCACTAGTGAATGGCATTATAACTTAAAGTGATATTAAATTTAAAAACATTTTCTTAAACTATTTCCAAAGCTTATTAAATTGCTTACAAGGAATGATGCTCCTTGACATTTAACAGTTTTAGCTCCCTGCAAAATCAGCTGGTCCCCTAAGCACTGGTCATGACATCCTGTTTTAGAAAGGCTCTTTTCCTTTGCAGCAGGGACGTGCGATCAGGGGAGGCAGAGCCTCACCTAGTATTATGAAGAAAAAAAGGTGTCAGCTTTAAGTCTGAAGCTGACAGCTTTTTCTCCATTCAGAGCGGCTTGTAACATGTTACACAGCAGGGAAAGCCTCCCGGCTGTGTAATCTGTCATGGACGGAGCACTGCCTGTTAATTACAGCGGTGCTGCATCCAGCTTTTGACAGCTAGTTAGGTTACACAGCAGCGGGTGAGGCAAGAGCTGTAACTGCCTCTACTCTGTGTTAGAGGCATGAGCTCTGTGGATGGCTTGGACCAATGGCAAAGCGCCATTGGTCCAAGCTGTCAAATAAAATAAAATAAATTAAAAACCCCCACTGAGGCCATCGATCTCGATGCCTCAGCAGTGACAAGCAAGTGAGGGACAGGAAGGCTCCTCCCCGTCTCCTCCCTTCCTCCTCCCTACACAGCCTGGTTACCGAGCTGGGGGTGGGGCTCTGACAGGATGGAGTGGAGTTTATTTGATCTGGATTCATTATTGAAAAACACTTGAGAGTTTAATACTACTTTAAGATAGGCTAGGAGGACACTGTCTCCTTTTGCAACACTGAGAGGGATCATGCAATCAAGCGCATTCTCAATGACGATTTTATTATTTGTAGAGGGCTTGCTATAAAGTCTGCTACATGACTTCAAATAGGCTCTCTCCCCCGAAGGACCTCCCAGCAGAATTTTTTTCTTTATGTTTTTGCTGTATCTTTTTTCAAAAAATAAACAAGTAACCAATATGTAGCAAACCCAATCCTACTAAGTGACATAAATTCCTTAATCAAAATCCTCTTCCAAGTGAAGCAGCTGAACTATCCTGATGTGTTTAGAATAGTATGCTGTTACGTATAGTGCTGGTATACTGATACTATGTCAGTGCATAGAGATTTGTAATTAACTTACAGTTTAAACAGCGTATATAATGTCATATTTTAAAAGAAACAACATATGGTTATCAGAGATTAAGAAGATCTTTAAAATGGGTCTCATACAAACAGAGGAAGCTGCCATGGAGCCCGTGGATTTAATCTAATACAAGCTCATGGCCCCCACCGCAGCCTTGTGCTTTTTTAATCTTTTTATCACTATTGCGTATGGTATGTCATTGGCAGCAGCAGGGCTATTACTTAGGTCCAAACAAATACATTAGATGTGCTCTTGGTGATATCAAACACTCACATACGCCACTGGTTTACAGTCTTTAGAAGTGCAAAGTTACTTACCTTTCCAAAAACAAAGCAGTAAAGAGTGACTCCCATGGCCCACACATCCAGTGCCTGGCAAAACAATATGAAGACAAAATTCATTTGTTTGTTTTTTGTCACAGTTTTTATGATTACCTACAACTGAACAGTTAAAATTGACTAACATTTTTAGGCCAGTCTACATATATGGATGAAAATATTACCCATCCATTCCTGTAAATGGGAAAACGCATTTATATGGCTTAGCTTACTGTAAAGAGGTGTTCTATTAGTTAGTGAAAAAATAAAAACCCTATAACCCCCTATACAAACTTCTTCAAAGCTTAACTTTAATCTTCTTATACGCTACCTTCCCTCCTTTCTCCTTTTTTAATATCATGCTAGTGACATTTTTAAATAAAACATTCCAATTTTCATTAGATGCCTTATTTTAGATAGTATTTACTTGTCTATGCCATGCAGACAGATAATGCTAGGGCCAGAAGGGTGCTAGACATAATTTCCTGAAATCATCACAGTACCTGGTCTCAGTGTACCTCTTAATAGCCATCTGCCCTAGGTAATGCTCACATGTAATGTTTTGCCTTCAGACTGCATTAAGAATACAGGGTTAATTTCAGAGTGGGGAGGACCATTAATCCACACTAAGACAGCTAGAAAAAAAAATAGATAAAGCAAGGGAAATAAGATGGTGGTCTTCTGATCCAGCTGTTTCAGCTAGATTTGGAGATATTCTCAAGTCTATGGACAGGTGCTGACCATTCCAGTCAACAAATCTCATCCAAGAAAGAATGATAATATCACTTAGAAAACCTAAGTTATTGTTATCCATTGAGACAAGACATCTGTGTGGTATGTGTTATTTCATTCTATTGGTGATGCTACCTACCAACTAATATCTGGACCTTCCAACTGATGTTTGGCAGCCACAGGAGAAAGCACTCATTTACATATCCTAGTGGTTATTGGGGAATCTCATTGCTTTGTTTCATGCAAAAAAAAAAAAAAAAACTTTACAAGGTTTGGGTTCCTCCTCTACTTTGCAAATCTTTTTAATTTACATAGTATTTGAGGTTGAATAAAGACACATGTCCATCAAGTCCAACCTATTGTGTGTGTGTGTGTGTGTGTGTGTGTATAGATCCCTGAGTCATCTCGTTATTAGGAGTACTTGTACCCCTGTATATTACCGTTTCTCAGGAAATCGTCCAAAAGCTTCTTGAATGATTCCACACTATTAGCTGAAATCACTGCTTGAGGCAACGAGTTCCAGACCCTAACCGCTCGAACTGAGAAGAACCCCCTCCGCCCCTTGTGTTTGAATTTTTTTTCTACCAGGTGGTGGCCTCTTGTCTTTGTTACGTAATTAGTCGTAAAGAGTTTGTTGCTAATGTCGCTATGACTATAGAACATTTTGTACATGAAAATCATGTCCCCCCTTAATCTCCTTAGTTCCAGCGTGAACATATTTAAATTTAGTAACCGTGTCTCATAGCTCTGGTCCTCCATCCCTTTGATGAGTTTGGTCGCCCTTCGCTGGACTTTCTCCAGTTCAAATTTTTTTTTATTTTTTTACTATCTATGGCAATATGTCTTTCGCACTCTATTTAAGCCGTCCGTATTGCTAGTTTGCATCTTTTATTGCTTTCTTTATAGTTGTGGAACGCCAATGCCGTCCCCTCTATCTTATATTTTATGAAAGCCATTCGCTTTTCCTTTATGTTTAAGGAAAAGCGAATTCATTTAATTATTTTAATTATGTTTAATGATCTCTAAAAAAATATTAGATAAGGAGTTTGTCTCAAAATAATACAGGTGTTCGTGATTCCAAATTAACTGTCAAACTATATTCATATCAATACTGAGTCATCCATGAAATAGCTATCTGCCTACACTATGTGTAGGAGAGAGGCGCTCCTTTAGATCTTCACAGTCACTGTGCAAGTTCTTCAAATTTATAAGCTGATGTCGAAAATGACAAGAGCGCACTAGCATTTGGGCCATAAGTGTGCATTAAGTGTGCATTAAGTCCAGAAAAATACACTAGAATGCAGAACTAGCTGGGAATTGCGGTATTTTTTTTATCTTGCATGTAATACATTACCAGGTTTGTGATTTTAAGCTTTTCTAACCACACTGTTTGTAAGCTAGAAACAGACTTTACCTTTCCACTGAACCCCTGTCCAGTGTCTGACAGAGTCTCAGGTGCCATGAAAGCTGGAGTCCCCGCAGTGCTTGAAAGAAGTGCATCGTTGCCTTCAAACTGATTGCTCACCCCAAAATCAGCTATTTTTATGTGACCATCATCTCCAAGAAGTAAATTGGATGGTTTGATATCTCTGTGAATAATCTTCTGGTAATGCACTAAAAATGCATAAAAAATAACACTGGACGTTTAATAAGAATTGTATAAAATGTTTGTATTATTGTAACACTGCAAAAAAGCATACAACACGAACACTGATTTTTGTTCAGGAAAAATTGTACATATTGTAATACACATGTGCTAGGCACAAAATAAATCTGATCAATATGTTTAGGATGCCATTCAAGAGACCGGTCTGGATGAAATTTATAAGGGCTACATAGTTACATAGTATTTTAGACTGAATAAAGACACATGTCCATAGAGTTCAACCTTGAGGCTTTCAAATAAAAGTAGTAAGGGCAAGATTGAATGTACTGATCAAAGATTTCTTCGGAACATTTAAATGAACTTCTAACAGTGTATAACCAGCTTAAGGATTCCCATTGAAATGTACTCTAAAATCTGCATTTCATAAGTGTGTTGTCACTTTTCGCTTTCCTATAAGATAACACATGCATATTAGGTTTTGTCATGATAACTATCTGTTCTCTTTTATTTTGGATATATTAAATTCTGACAACCAATGTATAAAAGTACAGTGTTGCAGGGTAGAGATTTGGTACATTCAAGCAATACAAAGCCAGTTTAGTGCAAGTCAACTCAACATATCAAGAAAGGGAAAAGCTTTTTTAGAAAACAGAAAATCATTGAACAACCAGCATAGAGAAAAGAACCATATAGACCTTGAGAACAGCCGTGGCCAAACAGATGCTAAAGATGGAAATGCATTATGCGTATCGCTGTAATACCAACCCTAAAAGACTAGCAGTTAATAAAATGAGGCGGAGAAGTATGATACTAATCATAGGGTTAAAAGTGCCCACAGACATTAGCTCACAATCTTCCAATCTCACTGTTTTTAACTGGATCTGTTGATTTGAGCTAATGTCTAGGATGCACCATCAGGTACCACCAGCCAAGGTTTGTCAGGAGGAGGGAATGCGATCAGACATGTTAGGAATCCTTGTCCAATTCATATTGTTTACCTTCTGATAAGTTGGCTCTGGAGGTGACTATAGCACACCTCCATGTTTCATTGGGCAGACACAAATTGTCACACAAAGCAAGTGTTTAAGTTTAGAGCAGGCCTCTCTTTGACCATAATGTAATTGTTTTAACCATTATGAGATATCAACATCTCTTTCATTTATATTTTAGTGAATTAATAGATGAAGACTATTTTAATATGCCTTTAGCTTATTCTAGAAAATGCTTTAGCCTACAGAAATTAAACAGTTCATGGTCCTAAGCAAGAATGTGTTTGTAGTAATGGTGAATGTGATCAGCCCACGTCTTTTCTTGGGTGACGAAGGATATGTGTAATATGTTTCCCCAGATAAGAGTGCCCAATAAGCTTTCTATATTTTACAAAAGGTATAGTTTTATGCGCTGTATATCTATTGTCCTTGTCATTTGTAATAAGTGCTAAGTGACCCAAACGTTCTGACTGTTTGAAATATGCCTTCAATTCTGTGTCACCGTAAGGCAGTGGTTCTGAATATTACAACAGGCTTAATAAAAAAAAGCAGTGACAAGCATGACAAAATTGTACAGTTCCTAAAAACACTAGAAAATCTCCGTCATCAAAGTCCAAAACGGTTTCTAAACATACAAATATAAAAAAAATAGTTTTGCGTTGGTGTATTCAAAGGCTATTTCAAACATAGTAACATAACCACCGTACAGTAATGTTTATGTTGAAAGTCAAGCAGGAGCAAGGCTTGTGGGCAGGCATGATAAGCTTTGCCCAAGCATGAAAACATGGGTGCAAGAGGAATTGTAACCTTTATCATAATTATTAAAAGGCTAAAGGGGGAAAGAAAGCAAAAGTCCCTAGAGGTGTATTGCAACATATTTAAATATACAGTAGTTACAAATTTAGGACATCCCCCTGTGAGTTACTATTACAATTCGTACTCACGGTTTAGCGCTCTAGATTTGTTTTATTGTTATCATTACAGCAAATTTAATGTTTGCAATTCTTTTGGCACACCAAAAAATAGGTAGCATTCAGAAAAAGTGTTCTTCAAACTGTCAAAAACATGCAGGTATAGTGCAAAACAAGACATCCTAGTGTAATTTAAAATCAGCAGTATACTGAATGCAATTCTACCATAGTCTGCTTACAAAAATAGAAAGCGAGTCTACAATTTCACTCTGCATATCTGCATTTCTGCTTTTTGAGGAAATCAGTTATTGTAAAACATCTGTCACACATCCAATGTCACAGCCATGATTGCTCGATGATAATATTAGATCATAAAATGCAGTAGAAAACTCCATCTGAATGATGCACATGCATAATAATTAGATGAAATTATCTTTATAAGGATCACATCTGTCAAAACGAAAAACTTGTTAGCAGCCCTACAGTAATGACTGAGGAAAAACAAAACCGGTTGCTTGACACACTGCCAGGAATTGTGGAGCTAAGCTGTATACATCACTTTGTAAGTTAATTATAAGTGTAACCAATGGAAGTGCTATACCACTATCATTCCCCGTCCTCATATGACAGGAATAAGTAGTGAGATGGATTTTTCTTCTGGCCGAGCACAACAGGACATGGGTAAAAAAAAGTTTTGCTGTTAACCATGGAAATTAGAAACTGTCACTCAAGAAAAAAATCAAAAACACTTTCCCCTATATTATCAGGATTGTGATCAAATATGAATATACTATAAAAGGTTTTGATCTTATTGTTAAAGTGTAGAAAAAGTACTGGGCAGTGACATTCTTTGAATCATATATCTATATGTACAGGCATGGGAAAATATTGCAGGATTGGCTCCTGAATTGTGATCTCACCTAAAGATTTAATCATCTAGGAACATTTTACTCTAACATATCTTTACTAGTTTAGTACTCATGGATATCTTGGGAGGTTCTTTCAAATATGGAGTTGGGTTTTAACTAAAGACCATCTAGATGTTTCACACGGCTTCTGGAACATTGTTCTGTTTACATGTGAGACTAGAGTTGAATATTAAATGTACAAAGCATTGTTTGCAGAAAATGAAAATCCATCCACAAGCCAGTAGCAAATCCTTATCACAATTGTGGAGCAAGTTGGAAGGAGCATGATATAGTCGGACTGTTCTGCTGTATAATGACCTGGAAGACTTTCTGTCATTAAGACACCAGTGAATTTAGTATACAGTCACAAAAATATATCACCGATCTGTCCAACATCGAGTCTCCAACACCCAGGTGCATGCAAGTGCAGACCAAGAGCCGTCCATGCTCAACTACAACAGACCCATGGAAAAAGCCACACACCACTATCCACCCAATTGTAAACTTTAACCCATGAAGCTACCAACTTCCAGCATTACGGAATTCCCAAATTAGGGGAATTTCACCTGTAAGGGCTTAATCATAGAGATGTGAGATGTTTTCCTGGGGTCTGTTCCAGAGAATTCAGAGTTGCATTAGCAATTTCTACATTGTGTCTACAACACAATGTGATCTAAAACTCAAAATACATAAAGTCACTCAACAATCTAAAACACAGACTTAAAATAAGTTTGGTTCAAAAGAAGAAATTCCACATTGAAGGGTGGTCAAAAGGCCTGACTTCGGTCCCACTTAAATGATGTGGTATTTAGGAAGGGCAGCTACACAAAAGTACTTGCTACCACTTTGTAGTATCACACAGGATGCTAACTTTAGACCCCCCAAATTACTTTGCATACACCAGCTTTATGAAACTCAATACTTTTATAGGGCTAAGCAAGTCTTTTACAGGACACTGCTGTGATATAACAATACATTGTAGAAGATGGGGGTGATACGTTTTCAAAAGTTGTTTTTTTAGTTACCATGGAGTTCAAAGTTATACTCTAGCACATTAGAGTGCTTACTGTCCTGTGCTATTACTTTGCTGTGACAGACACATTCAAGATTTACTTTAAGTATAGATTGGAATGCAGAAAAAAATTATCCCTGTGTCTATGGCAGTAATGATCTTTGGGCATGCTTTTATAATAACCAATCATAATAAGATTTGTGAACATAAACCTAAAACCCTTAGTGAGGTGCATGCTTGTATGCATTGTGATTATGGCTGCATTGCAAAAATGATCTAGTATACAGTATATAAAAACCATGTGCATTAAAAGTATCTGTACATCTTATCACTTGTCAATTCCTGAATGTAGATGGTCGATCTGGCAGTGTGAACTCTTACCACTGTGAACAAAAGAGGAGTGTTTTAATAAAATATAATGGCAGAACATGAAATGCAATTAAGCCATCAATCACAGTGACTGTAAGCCTGTAGTGATTCCCTTTGAAAGGTGGAATAGTTTAATAATGTAGGACTCAAGGTGTAAACATTAACCCCCTGATGATTACTGCGGTTAGTGGTGTGAATCAATTTCTAGCGCAACTGATTTGGGAATATTGCAGTAGAGAGTATACACCTCAAAATGCTTTTCTTTCTATATTTCAGGTTTATTAAACTTTGGCACAATTATGACAGCCACCACAAAGTGTCATACAGCTACAATCTTCGTATTTATCATCACCTCTCCATTTCTGTCCCTTTCTATAGGCTAAATTGTCTTGGCACTATATGAAATTATTTTTCGGGCAATGTGATAAAGATTTTAGCTTTGCTTGCAATGACCTTCCAATGTTTGGAAGAAGACATGCAGGTGCCTACAGACTTTAGATGCAGGGCTCCAAAGCATGCATAAATCCACTGTTTTTATGATACTATCTTTGCATAGTATACTTGAATTTGCAATTAGAAAGTCTAGCACTAGCTCTGCACTTAACTACTACTGAAGTGTGTGTAATGTAATATTTTGCTACTTAAGTCTAATAACTGGCAATTCACCACATACTAGTTAGCTAGGTGCTTACATGAATCAGTTCCCACATACCTACCAACTGCTGGCTGTAAATATAATACATTCATATGCATGCTCTGAAATAGAGCACAACTGGCATGTTTTTTATGGTGACATTGCTGGTTCTCTTAACCAATAGA